GGTGTGAGGGTTATTGATCTTCCTTCTCTGTGTGTGAAATATCCTCCTGCTCGCTGTCCGCAGGCTCTGACCCCTCCCTCCCCGGGAATCCCTGCCAATACACACACTCAGGGCAGCTGGGAGATCCAGGGCTAATCAATAAAAGACCAAATACTCAGAGGAGATTTAGTCGGCCTGGGCTGAGAGGCAACACAGGCCAAACCTCATGAGATCATCACAGTACAGTGTGGTTTCTGAATGATATATTGTGATTTTAATAAACGGTTCAGTGAAAAATCAAATCTGCACATTGTTTTTGCGGAAGCTGTGAGGATAACACTGCTAACAAACACTAGAACTCCTAAACTACACTCTTAAAAAAGATGGTTCTTCAAGGGTTCTTTAGTAAAGAAAATGGTTTTATATAGAACCATGAACAGCCAAAGAACCCCTCTGCATGATTGAAGGGTTCTTTGCATGGTGAAACGGTTCTTCAGACTGATGGGGAATGTGCTGTTTATGGCTCTCTATAACACGAAAAAGGTCAAGTGTCAAGCTTGTAACAATAGCAAAACCCTTTTGGTGCCACAAAGAGCCCTTTTTGAAAAGGTTCTGTATAGAACCATATGAAGAATGCGTTTGCATAAACGACAAACTGCCTCCTTTAAAGTGGAGCTGACTGTGGTGAGTTATTGACACTCAGCTCTGAACCCAGAACACGTTCGGTCACTAAAGCCGTTATTGTTCATCGTCGAGGCGTCGCAAGTTCACATTTTACAGCAGAACCGGGTCAAACGCCAGCGCTGTTCTTCAGCAGAACCCCATAAATCCGTTCAGCCGATCAGCGCGCAGTATTCGGGTCAGGTGACGCAGCACTGCCACCAAGCGTTTGAGGCAGAATCTTAAACGATTCCTTCTCCCAACAAAGAGCAGCAGGTCTTAAACTAACGGCTACTGATCTAAGCAGAGCTCAGAGTCTCACAGAGACCCACTCTGGATTCAGCCACGAGAGACGATTCATACACAAAGACCAATATTTGGGTGGAAAAGACTGAATTTCATAACTCACAGTGACTCTATAGGGAGCAGTGAGGCGTCTGAGACTCAGCCTGAGGATTTTCAGAGCTCTGATCTTATAGATGATTAATATTGATCATTAACGGCTGTTTGATCAGGTTTCAGATGTTCACCTGCTTGGTTTATGATAAATGGATAAAGATGTTAAATATTGACATTAAAGCAACTTGTGTCCATTAAATGGCTTTAACTCTGAAATATGAAAAAAGTATATAATAACAACCCAACTGCAGTTTGATTGCTGTTACCTGAAATGCACAAAAAAACATTCTCCAACCATCTGAAGAAACATTTCACCATGCAAAGAACCATTTAATCATGCAGAAGGTTCTGTGAGTGTTCTTGGTTCTAGATAGAGCCATTTAAAGAACCCTCTGGATAGCTATCTTTTTAAAGAGTGTACACCTACAGGACTGCACCACCTTAATGGAGAGCTGCATGCGGTTTGAGCAGGTTGAGAAAGCGAAATTTGAATTTCCACATTACAATTAAAATATAGAATAAAAAAATGTTTGTACTGGTAAAACTGTGTTCTGCTAAAATGAACTGGGAAAATCTAAATGTTTACAATGAGAATTAAAGCCTTACATGCTAAAATATAATGACTGCTAGGAACAAGGCTTTAGCACACCTAAAGCCTTCAAGTGTTCTTTGGTAAAGAAAGTGGTTCTGTATAGAACCATGAACACTGAGAGAACCCTTTGCATGATTAAAGGGTTCATTGCATGGTTAGTTCTTCAGATTGAGGGAGAATGTGGTTTAGATGGTGCATCTCCTGCTCAACCCCTAAACTCCGCCTATCAGGACATCCATCGGCTCAAGAGCTGCAAATACTTTTATTGGCTCACTATCAAAACATTTGCATGAACCAGGGCTTGTTTCATGTATATGAGTGTAAATTGGGGCGTGGCTGTAAAGACATGTGATGTGTAAATAAGGTACTCATGTGCCAGCGCTTGTTTTCACGCACCGATGACTGCATGACTGTCTCCTGAATCAGACGCAGAGTATTTCGTATGTCTTTCCGGAGGCACGTGAATAAGGGCAACAAGGGACTTGTAGAATGTTTACTTTTTTATTTTAATTTTTTTACTAGTATTAATTACACTTGTACTTGTTCAAACTGAATTTCTGATATCAGGAAAATCTGTATTAAAAGCTGAAACAGCTCTCCACTCACTGCACAGCACAGGTTCAACAGCCATGTTCACACTTACTGAAGCTCCTCCAGCTTCTGTAGAAGGAAAGTGTCATGTGAGGACTGTTTTTCTGTACGTATGCAGGAAAGAATAAAGCCAGTTTAAAGTATTAAAGATCTCCACAGTTCTTGCTGGACCAGCACTGATGGCCAGTTTAGTGTTTTGTAACATCATCAGCAGGAGACGAGACTGTCGCAACTCAAGATGTTCAAACACAGATGTTCAGAAAAAATAAACGTTATAAACAAATCTTGCGGTCGGGTTCGTCCAGCCTGCAGGTGATTTTGGCCAGACGGCCTGTGTATTTACATATGAAGCTATTCGATAACTGCAGTTTCCTACCAGAGAGTTTTTATAGGTGTTTATCAGGTTAAAGTCCTTTAAACAGAGGCAACTTGGATCGTCGATGAAGAGGAGACACGGCTGCGTTGCTGATACTGGCAGAGCTGGAATGTTCTGGAATTCATGGCCTGAGTCTAAACATCAGAAAATTAGAGTTAACCCTTAATGTACCTTTGACTTTTCCCCAAAACCCTCACAGACAGAATGGATTTACGGAAGCATTTCATCAGGGCTGCAGCTCATGATTATTTTTGTAATTAATTAGGGCTGATTATTGATTATTATTCAGTGGCAAACCATGATTGTTACAGCTAGGCCTTCAATTTGGGCCATAAATGTCAAAACCTGGAGAAAAACAAGGAAAAGAACACTTCTACAATAGTGTTTGTTTCTGCTAGCGCCCCCATGGGATTCTAGTGTTATTAGCATCAAGCAGTGATAAATCTAGAACCTCCAGGCCTAGAGTGATGCTGTTTTCGTCCTAAAACTGGTTCTGTAGTGTATTACAGTCTGTCAGAGTGACTGTGTGGATCATATGAACATTATAGAGCTTTTTAAATGAAACAGTAGAAGCCATATCGCCCCCTACACTTCCTGTAGTGTATTACAGTCTGTCAGAGTGACTGTGTGGATCATATGAACATTATAGAGCTTTTTAAATGAAACAGTAGAAGCCATATCGCCCCCTACACTTCCTGTAGTGTATTACAGTCTGTCAGAGTGACTGTGTGGATCATATGAACATTATAGAGGCTTTTTAAATGAAACAGTAGAAGCCATATCGCCCCCTACGCTTCCTGTAGTGTATTACAGTCTGTCAGAGTGACTGTGTGGATCATATGAACATTATAGAGGCTTTTTTGTTTTAATGCCCAAGTAAACAATGTGTCATTTTTGCTATAATCAGTGTGATTGATGATTACTTGATTTTGAACCATCAGAAAGAAAATTATAGCACTTCATTGAAAAGCTTCAACTTTTTTATTTTTTTTACCTGTTACCTGCACTGTAGCCATTAGCTGACCATTAGCTAACGTTAGCTTAACCTCTTAACATTCAGGACTTTGATTACCCACTAATATGACTTAATAACTCTTTAATTTTTTCACTGTTTTCCGTACAGATAAATAAATAACTGGAGTAAAAGCCTGAGGATGTGTAAATCTGAAGTGTATGGGGTTAATGGTAGTTAGCTAGCGAGCGTTCAGACACAAAACGTTAATGCAGAACTATTTCATTTTAGGGAATAACTTGCATCCAAGCAAAGTGCTGTGAGGAGCTGTGAGAGCAGTGTTCAAATATTATTGCCAGTACTGGACACTCAGTGACTGTTAGTTCAGGGAGCTTCCCTGGACCGCAGCCTGGAAAGTCCCACAGCTCAGCAGAACCTCAGATACCCACAATCTGAGTCACCAGAACTCACAGAGATGGACAGGTGGTCTCTCTGTCTCTCTCTCTCTCTCTCTCTCTCTCTCTCTCTGTATCAGGCCTGACAAGGTTTTATCAGTGTTTTAGCTCAGCAGTGAGTCGAGTGACTCAGCAGTGACTCCCTCACTTCTGTTTCCTGGACAACAGAGTTTACTCTGATACTCCAAACTCTGTGGGGAATGTTACTGTGAGTAATTATGAGGAATTGTTGCAAATTAGAATTGAGTAATTATGGGAAAATAAGGGTGAAGGGAATTGGGAATTGTAAGTAACTGCTGGGGTAATAATTGGAGTAACTGAGTTTTATAGGGAATTGTGGGGAATTGTGAGAGTGCTGCAGGCTTCACCATCCCCATGAATTTCAGTGCTTTTCAACCATACAGTGGGTGTGTTAACATTCCAGATTGCCAAGGTGCTCACACACACACACACACACACACACACACACACACACTCACAAGCACACACACACTCACACACTCACACACACTCACACACACACACTCACAAGCACACACTTTCACTCGTCCACTCTCTTGCTCTTTCTCAGTTTCTTTCTGAGAGAAACAAATTTATGGAAAGAATGTGCTGGAATCTCCGTGTTCAGGTCTAATAAAAAGACTGCAGCGCAGCAGAATCAGGAATAAAGCTCCACATCATGAAATCTTAAATTTCTCCACCACATGAATTAGATTGATTATTTTGGTATAACGCAGGACTTTTGTTAAACACACTAAATACACAAATGTAACTGCAGCAGCTGTTTACACTGCAGTGGAATATAGACAATAAATCCCAAACAGCCAGATTTCCCTATGTGTGAAAATGTGACGTGATGTTTATATTTTGACCAAAAATGTAATGTTATGTTTGATTATATTTGATTATAGAAAATCGTAACAACTGTAACTGATGCACTTGGATCCTGATCTGATGGATGCATTAACTCAGCCTGTCCTGTGTGTTTCTGTCCAGGTGTGAAGTGTCCAGTCTGCTCCAAGTTTATCTCCTCAGATGAGATGGAGCTCCACCTTACGGTGTGTTTAACGAAGCCCAGAGTAACGTACAACGGTAAGGCTCTGTGTGTTTCTCTGCGGCTGGGCGATACCTAAAAATAATTAGCACAATATTATCTTATTAGACATCAGCATTATTTATTACATTTTTCATGTTCTCTATTTATCTGGTAATGGATGTAAGTAACCATGGGAACGGTCATACTGTAACCATGGAAATGGGTGTTGTATACAATGGAGTAACTATGGAAATGAGTGATATATATAATGGTGTAATATAATAGGCAGGTTAAGCAGCTGGCCTGCAGGACGTAGCTGTTAGCTAATGCTAATTTAGGTCATTTAAAGAGCATTTTGTATGTAGTGTCACTTCTACCACATCTGACATTAACAGCTAAAATTAAAAGAATTTAATTAGAAATCAGTTTAACCAATGGGTGCAGTGTACAAGGGAAACATATGTAACGATGGAAGTGGAAATAGATGTAATGATGGAAATGGGTGTAGTGTAACCATGGAAATGGGTGTAGTGTTACTATGGAAATGGGTGTAGTGTAACCATGGAAATGGGTGTAGTGTTACTATGGAAATGGGTGTAATGCTACTATGGAAATGGGTGTAGTGTTACTATGGAAATGGGTGTAGTGTATCCATGGAAATGGGTGTAGTGTTACTATGGAAATGGGTGTAGTGTTACTATGGAAATGGGTGTAGTGTAACCATGGAAATGGGTGTAGTGTTACTATGGAAATGGGTGTAGTGTTACTATGGAGATCGGTGTAGTGTTACTGTGGAAAGGGGTGTAGTGTTACTATGGAAATTGGTGTAGTGTAACTATGGAAATGGGTGTAGTGTAACTATGGAAATAGGTGTTTTGTAACTATGGAAATGGGTGTAATGTTACTATGGAAATGGGTGTAGTGTTACTATGGAAATGGGTGTAGTGTTACTGTGGAAATGGGTGTGATGTTACTATGGAAATGGGTGTAATGTTACTATGGAAATGGGTGTAATGTTACTATGAAAATGGGTGTAGTGTTACTATGGAAATGGGTGTAGTGTTACTATCGAAATGGGTGTAGTGTTACTGTGGAAATGGGTGTAGTGTTACTATGGAAATGGGTGTAGTGTTACTGTCGAAATGGGTGTAGTGTTACTGTGGAAATGGGTGTAGTGTTACTATGGAAATGGGTGTAGTGTTACTATGGAAATGAGTGTAGTGTTACTGTGGAAATGGGTGTAGTGTTACTATGGAAATGGGTGTAGTGTTACTATGGAAATGGGTGTAGTGTTACTATGGAAATGGGTGTAGTGTAACCATGGAGATGGGTGTAGTGTTATTATGGAAATGGGTGTAGTGTAACCATGGAAATGGGTGTAGTGTTACTATGGAAATGGGTGTAGTGTAACTGTGGAAATGGGTGTAGTGTTACTATGGAAATGAGTGTAGTGTTACTATGGAAATGGGTGTATTGTTACTATGGAAATTGGCGTAGTGTTACTATGGAGATCGGTGTAGTGTTACTGTGGAAATGGGTGTAGTGTAACCATGGAAATGGGTGTAGTGTTACTGTGAAAATGGGTGTAGTGTTACTATGGAAATGGGTGTAGTGTTACTATGGAAATGGGTGTAGTGTAACTGTGGAAATGGGTGTAGTGTTACTATGGAAATGGGTGTAGTGTTACTATGGAAATGGGTGTAGTGTTACTATGGAAATGGGTGTAGTGTAACCATGGAAATGGGTGTAGTGTAACTATGGAAATGGGTGTAGTGTTACTATGGAAATGGGTGTAGTGTTACTATGGAGATCGGTGTAGTGTTACTGTGGAAATGGATGTAGTGTAACCATGGAAATGGGTGTAGTGTTACTATGGAAATGGGTGTAGTGTTACTATGGAGATCGGTGTAGTGTTACTGTGGAAATGGATGTAGTGTAACTATGGAAATGGGTGTAGTGTTACTATGGAAATGGGTGTAGTGTTACTATGGAGATCGGTGTAGTGTTACTGTGGAAATGGGTGTAGTTTTACTGTGGTAATGGGTTTAGTGTTACTATGGAGATCGGTGTATTGTTACTGTGGAAATGGGGGTAGTGTTACTGTGGAAATGGGTGTAGTGTAACCATGGAAATGGGTGTAGTGTTACTGTGGAAATGGGTGTAGTGTAACCATGGAAATGGGTGTAGTGTTACTCTGGAAATGGGTGTAGTGTAACCATGGAAATGGGTGTAGTGTTACTATGGAAATGGGTGTAGTGTAACTATGGAAATGGGTGTAGTGTTACTGTGGAAATGGGTGTAGTGTAACCATGGAAATGGGTGTAGTGTTACTCTGGAAATGGGTGTAGTGTAACCATGGAAATGGGTGTAGTGTTACTATGGAAATGGGTGTAGTGTAACTCCCCAGATCCTCACTAGATCACTCTGAGAGTTGGGGATTAAAGTGGATGTTGAAAAGTGGGGCACGTCCCTCCGTCCCCAATGGGAACTACACCTCTGTCTGCTACGGTTGAGGCTGCGGTTTGGCGAAGGTCAACAAACTCCACTAAACTTCAGTCTGCCAGCCAGAAGTGCACAAAGCCTTGCGGTCTGGCTCGGGTCCACAGGGCCGGGGCTTTGAGGAGCAGCTTCTTTGTTTGCTTAACCCCCTTTCAGGCTTCTAACTTTGCGATTCGGCTTGTCTATCAGTAAGTTCTGAATCCAGTGTGTCACACACACGATTTCAGCGCTCTAGGAGAGCACAAGAAGATTTTCAGCTTCTCTAAATCAACAATTAGGTGGAATTTTTATTAACCACAGGGGAAGCCTCCCTCGCGCTTCCAGAGAAATCCTAAAGAGTTGGAATCTGTTCTGCAGGGCCCCTGAGCGAGCGTCTGTTTAGCAGTGATTACACATCACCCTCTGCTGGCCGCTATGTGCAACTGTATCCATCTCATTAGGATTAGCTTAGTCATTTGTAACCACACATGTATATATATATATATATATATATACACACACACACACACATATATATATATATATATATATATATATATATATATATATATATATATATATATATATATATATATATAAATTGTCCGTGTGCGTGTGTTGTATATATATAATTTACTTTTAATGTAAGTCAATGGAACCAGACATTATTCCAATGGGGCCGTTTATTTTGGCCATTCATCATGAACTTTACACACAATGTAAAGGGCAACAGGTATTTTCAAATCAAGTCAAAAACTGAAAACCGTCAAAAATGTATATATTATATAATATATATATTCACACATAGTTTCTTCTATAAATCCACAAAAACAACACTAATTCATTGTGTTTTGTGTGAGGAGGGCAGCATATAAAGGCTTCAGTAGCCCCATGTGTCCTGTTTGAAAGGGTTACATATTAATTGACCCACAAACCAAACCTGTTTGCATGACCTGCATTGTGTTTATACTGTGTTAGTAGAGCTCACAGTCAGACTGATCTGTAAAATCTCACTAAACAGCAGATTCCTGGCCTCATCAAACTCAACAACACCGTTTCAGTATTTCAGTTTACTGGCTGATGTGGGGTCACAGAGTTCCTCTCTGATGGTGTAACACTGTAATATCACTTCCTGCTTGAAGATCACACAGAATGAGTTCTGCTAATAGGCAGTTTAAGCAACTGGCCTGTAGCAAGTAGCTGATGTTAGCTAATGCTAATTTAGGTCATTTAAAGAGTGTTTTGTACACTCTCCAGGCTGTTTTTACTCCACTGCTCTGTTCCTTTTTCAAACACAGTTCACTTTAGCTGCTCTGCACTTTCTTTGGGGACTATTTTGCCTCACAGCGCCCTGCATGTATCCCTCCACCATGAATGGAGTTTAAGTTCTCTAAACTATCATAAAACAGTGTCTCAGTCATCAGGCAGTGAATTCATGACCATTTCATGTAGGAACTTTCTGTGAGGGAGCTTTTAGAGGTGGACGTCTGGTTCCTATCACCACCACTGTGAACAGTTCTGATTTGGTAAGTTTATCTAGAACAGAGCGTTTCACACCAAACCACTCTGAACGGCTCTGAACCGCTCTGAACCACTCTGTTTACTTGGTGGACTTCCCCTTTGAGACACTTGTATATCTCTCAAATACAAGACACTGCATATTTCTCTTTTCAGAGGACGTGCTGTCGAAGGAGGCTGGAGAATGTGCAATATGTCTGGAAGAGCTGCAGCAGGGCGACACCATCGCACGCCTGCCCTGCCTCTGCATCTACCACAAAGGGTAACACAGCCTGGTACATCGCGGGTTAACCGTCAGTGTCCATATCTGAAATCTGACATCTTCTCTGAACTTGCCAGAACATAAATCTGAAGGAACTTTTCACATCTATCAAACCACCCTGCTAAAAATACAGCACAGAGCTGGTTCATGCTGGTCTTGTGCTGGTTTAGCTGGTCACGCAGCATGGTCATACTGGCTGACCAGAATACCAGCGTCCAGTCACAATATATCGCTGCTGTCGGAAGAGAACTTTGCATCTCCATTTTTGTTTTCTCGTTTTTCAGTTTTTGACATAATTTGAAAATGCATGTTACTCTTTGCATTATTTGTACATTTCACAGAAAAAGTCTGGTTCCACTGACTTCCATTAAAAGTAAGGTATGTTATTTGTTTCTCCTGTAAAGTTACCATTTTGGAGATACGAGGTTTTCTTCCGACAGCAGCGATATGCTGGTTTTCTTAGCAGGGCACGTGGCTAAAAAGTGAGATTTTTATACCAAAACTGTAAGGGTCCAGCACACCGCTGCACCGCTGGCCGCCAGCAGAGGGCAACGGCAGTGAAGTGCCATAACTTCAGGGAACTCCAATTCCCAGAAGCCCACGGGCTGATTGGGCCCAACCTGACACTCCTGTGGACTCCTCTACTTAAGGCTGTGGCAAACGGCAGCTCTTTGTCCCACCTTTGTAGAGGGGTGACCGGTATGGTACGCAGCCCAGGTGTGTATTTAAACAAAAAGAAAAGAAAAACAAAAAGGAAAAGAAATGAAATGAAAAGAAAAGAAAAGAGGGGTGGAAAAAACAAAATAAAGTAATTACCCCAAAACTACTCAAAAAAAAGAAGGCTTGAGCTACAAACGGCTCTAAGCCATTTAAAGGTGTCTGCTGCACTAAAAGTAAACAAGTGAAACATAAAGTCTGCCTTCCCTTCATAATTACAGCGGAAGAGTCTTTTATTTTCTCATTGTCTTTTATTTCACGTTTCTAGTTCAGCCTCTGTTTGAGCTGCTTTCAGCGTTTCCTTTGTTTGTTGCTGTTTTTCCCGCCTTTTTTATTTCCCGCTCCTTGAGGTGTTTTACCCACTGTCACCTGTGCTTCCCAGCGGCGCAGCAGTAACTCCACCGGTGGTTCGAGCCTGGCTCTGGGTCACCACCCCAACCTGCACAATCGTCCAACTCACATCCCATTATCTCAATAAATTTATTTAACACTCTTTCTCACGGGGTTTCATCTTTGCACTTGGGTCCGCCTCCCTGACGTCCCGTAACAGAAGCCAAAGAAAATCCCAATCTGATTGTGGATAAAAGTCATTCATCCAACCCATAACCACACACACTTTCATCATTTGATACCAATCAAAACTAGTCATGAGTTTCTGTACTAAATCTAGTTGTTGGACATAAATGGGTTAACAAACAACAACATTTTCCAAATTTAAAGGGCTCATATCCCTTACAATCAAACAGGCTGAGTTTTTGTTGCTGTGCCTTTAAGACTGATATATGTAAACCAGCTCTGTTCTGATTAGCTGCCCTCATTCAAAAAACGTCCAAGGCTGAAACGCTCCTTATAACTTCAGTGTACATGGGTGGGGCTAAACTGGTGTAGGCTGAATAGGTGAATGTGTGAATGCATTGTTTTTTGTGACATCACAAAGTTATTTTTAAACGGGCTTTTTTTTCCAGCTTATTTTCCATATATGGACTGTGAGGGTTGAGGAGTGAATAGTAGACTTTGAAACTAACATTTACATAATTTAGCAAATTATAATTTAAAAAAAGCAAGGAAAATTCGGTTTTCCATGATGTGGAAGCAGCTCTACTCTGCAGAGATTATGAACAGAAATTTGAAAAATGACCACTTTTGTAAATACATGAAGTTCTACACATAAAACTACGTGCTCTGATGGGAAAGCTAAGCAGAGTAGGTGGTTTCTTTGGCTGGGTGTGTGTAAGTAAGTTTAACTGTGTTAACTCTCTCCACACAGGTGCATTGATGAGTGGTTCGAGGTGAACAGATGGTGCCCTGAACATCCTTCAGATTAAAACTCAGACTAACGCAGGTAATGAGGTTGTTCATAAATGAAAGAACAATCCGTCCCTGAGTCTTGGGCCAAATCCCATTCCACCCCTCGCCCCTACCACTGAGATCTACCCCTCCCTTTTGCCTGTTCTCATCTAGCGGTAGGGTGTCCCGACTCTTGTTGAGATAGAGGGGTGGGGTGAAGTGTTGGGGCTACATGACCCTCCAAACGGAGGTTTTTCAGAGACTCCAAACAGAGAGATATGAGAAAAGAAAAAGATGGAGAACAAGAGACCAAAGAAACACACAAACGTGAGAATTTTCTCTGTTCAAAAATCACGATAATCAGTTTAATGTCACTTCAGTGTATTATGGTCCTTTTTTTCATAAGCATAAAAATCACTAGTAGTGCTGATGTCCCAGTAGCTACACTATGTTGCCAAAAGTATTCGCTCGTCTGCCTTCACACACATATGAAGTTGAGTGAGCTCCCATTCTTAATCCATAGGGTTTAATATGATGCCGGCCCACCCTTTGCAGCTACAACAGCTTGAACTCTTCTGGGAAGGCTTTCCACAAGGTTTAGGAGTGTTTATGGGAATTTTTGACCATTCTTCCAGAAGCGCATTTGTGAGGTCAGACACTGACATTGGACGAGAAGGCCTGGCTCACAGTCTCCGCTCTAATTCATCCCAAAGGTGTTCTATCGGGTTGAGGTCAGGACTCTGTGCAGGTCAGTCAAGTTCTTCCACACCAAACTCACTCATCCATGTCTTTATGGAGCTGCTTTGTGCACTGGTGCGCAGTCATGTTGGAACAGGAAGGGGCCAAACTCCCCAAACTGTTCCCACAAAGTCGGGAGCATGAAATTGTCCAAAATCTCTTGGTGCTGAAGCATTAAGAGTTCCTATCACTGGAACTAAGGGGCCGAGCCCACCTCCTGAAAAACACCCCCACACCATAATCCCCCCTCCACCAAACTTTACACTTGGCACAATGCAGTCAGACAAGTACCGTCTCCTGGCAACCGCCAAACCCAGACTCGTCCATCGGATTGCCAGACGGAGAAGCATGATTGGTCACTCCAGAGAACACGTCTCCACTGCTCTAGAGTCCAGTGGCGGCGCTTTACACCACTGCATTCGACGCTTTACATTGCGCTTGGTGATGTAAGGCTTGGATGCAGCTGCTCAGTCATGGAAACCCATTCCATGAAGCTCTCTACGCTGTTCTTGAGCTGATCTGAAGGCCACATGAAGTTTGGAGGTCTGTAGCGATCGACTCTGCAGAAAGTTGGTGACCTCTGCGCACTATGCGCCTCAGCATCCGCTGACCCCGCTCTGACATTTTACGTGGCCGACCACTTCGTGGCTGAGTTGCTGTCGTTCCCAATCACTTCCACTTTGTTATGATACCACTGACAGCTGACTGTGGAATATTTAGTAGTGAGGAAATTTCACGACTGGACTTGTTGCACAGGTGGCATCCTATCACGGTACCACGCTGGAGTTCACTGAGCTACTGAGAGCGACACATTCTTTCACTAATGTCTGTAGAAGCAGTCTGCAGGCCTAGGGGCTCGGTTTTATACACCTGTGGCCATGGAAGAGATTGGAACACCTAAATGCAATGATTTGGATGGGTGAGTGAACACTTTTGGCAATATAGTGTAGCAGTTCCATTCTGGCTCCTCAGGCATCAGGACTGCTGCTCCATTTAAGGTGGAACGGGAAAATTCAAACAAGAATCTGGAGAATATCAGCTTCAGCTTCATATCACTGAAGAATTAGGGGTGGGTGATAATAAATAATTGCCCCCTCTTTGAAGATCATATGATGCCCTAAATGTAACTAAAGCCCAGCAGTGAGGAGCTGAACTTTACCCTCCTCTGCTGTCACTGCAGACTGGCAGGGTCGCCTACAGAGCAGCGCTGGTAGCTGTTAATGAAGTGCTGCTCTTTTTATTTGAGGGTCCCATTTCAGAGGGAAGATCTCAACCACTACCCTGTAACTCAGTTCCAAGGAACAAGGTGACACTGTAAAACAAGGGGTAGGGGTAAAAATAAGAAGTGGAACTGGGCTTGTAGTCTGGTGCTAAAGGTTTTCCCACACAGACTGTTCTACAACTTCTACCATTTTTAGTTCCACTTTTGTACCCGCTGTATCGCCACCTACACTCTTAAAAGAGAAGGCTCTTCAGGGGTTCTTTAGTAAAACAGTGATGCTGTCTAGAACCATGACATTTCAAGAAGCAATTTGCATGGTGAAATATAGCACCAAAAAGGATTCATTAATTGTTACAAGCTTGATATCGTAACAGTAGCAGAACCCTTTTTGGTGCTATACAGAACCATTAAAAAAAGAACTATATACAGCACATTCTCCATCAATCTGAAGAACCATTTCACCCTGCAAAGAACCAATTAAGCATGCAAATGTTTTTTTGAGTGTTTATGGCTCTGTATAGAACCATTGTCTTTACTGAAGAACCCTTGAAGAACCATCTATTTTAAAGGTGTAGTTGGTGTTTGTGAATGTGCTACTATTTTTACAGTCAGGCCTCCAAACCAGCTTGAGGAACGAAAATGGAAACGAGACACGACGGTGTTTTGCTAGGAACAAAAACAAAACGGAAAACGTCGTCATCCTTAAAGGGACAGAATGAAAAAAGGAACCATGGCTACATCTGCTGTAAACATACCTACCTTTTACAGCGGTGCTGCAGTATCTAGAGCGAGGATTTACAGAAAAACCCCCTTCTGATGATTAAATCTGAGAGGAACTTAGAAAACAAAGGGACCAGTGAAGCGTCATCATGCAGGCTTATTTTAAAATGCCCTGTACGTGTGAATACGCTACATTATACTCTCTCGCATTTATTTTCAGGAAGTCTAATTGTGATTGTAGGAGTTCATTTGTAGTCAGTTCATTTATGAGGTCATGTGTGACTGAATGCTTTATTCAAAAAATAATTTGCATATATTTTTGTAGAAATGTAGTGTTAGTCATTCTTTAAAAACTAAATAGTTTTTTGTTCTATCAAAACTAAATACTTTTTTGACTGGTTTAAAAAAGCCCAAACAGATCTGCATTTGATTCATAGGACTTGTGAGAAATGCTATAGGAAGCTGATTGCTTATGTCTGCAAACATCCAGCAGGGGGAGCTCTCGATGGTTTTACTCGTCAATAAAATGGCAAACACCACGCTTTAGTTTCACTTCTTTTATTATTCCCTTTTCAGGAGTAAAGCACAGATAAAACCACCCCAAACCAACACGGACTGCAAAAAAATAAGGCGTGATGAGTCGATGGTAGAAGACTACGCTGCTCCTATAGCACCAACCAGCTCTGATCAGATCAGACTTAAATTCCAAAATAAATGATCCAAAATAGTTTGAAAATGAATTATTTTGAGTAAATACACAGAGAAACTGAATGCTACGAAGCAAACGTTAGCCTGCCAGTTACATCTTAATGCCTGTATGTCATCCAAGCCCGGCGACCCGCGAGTTCATACTGACTGTATACTGGAGGAAATGCTGCTGTTTGCACTTCACTGTATTTTTGTTCGACATTATTATCGTTAATGTTTTACGTTACGCAGCTGGTCATTCTCTGTTTGGAGGGGAAACCATGTCACAAAGGTTTCAGGGCCTAAAAAGATGCTTAAAATATGAGGCACAGCTCCAAAAGTCAGTGTGTACATTTTACACAGTTGAGAAGATTAAATAACACTTTTCCTTTATGATTCTCTGATTTTATCTTTTTTTTATCCTGTTTCATAGTCGCTCTGCATCTGTAAAACAGCTCATCACAAAATGCAATTTTCAACATTTTTAATGTGAAACAGTATTTTTAAGCGGTTTAAACTTAGAAATTTGTATAAAACAGATTCATGTTTACTTTTTATATCATTAACGTTATACTACAATTAAAAATATGCATTTTATTTAAAAAACTAATTTGTCAGAGATTTTGGTCACTGGTGTTTTCAGGACTCTTATTTTACATTAACACAGTATGTTCAGCTCTATTAAACTGCTTCTTTGGGTCGAGGCTCATCAGAGAGGAAGCTTCTCAAGGCATGAGAAGGCGAGTCACACTGGCTCACTATATTTCATTAATATATTAATAATTTTGTTTATCAGGCAGCTCATAACTTCTATGTGTCCCTGGTGTTTTGTGCTTTAATGACTTGGTAATTAAAATAGTCAAAATATATCATTTTTATTACTAATTTTAAATAGTTCACAAGGACACCTGACCAATTTACAGAATCCTCAGTTTACCAGAAAGTCACTGGAGTCACCGTCACTGGTGTTACACCATATTCATACAACACCAGTGACTGTAAAATATTTGGAATTAAGCTCCTTTTTGAATATATGATAATAGGAGATGTTAATGGACACATTAAGATTATTTATTTTTGGGATGAAAGTGAATTTATTAAATGTATCCACCTGAATTCCTACTCCAAATGGAGAACGACCCAGCTAACATTTAAAAATGTTATCAAGGTAACTGGGTATGTTATGCTATTGCTAACTTTAGCATAAGTACAAACATTAGTGTTTGATTTTGAGATTCTAACAAAAATCCAGGCTCTTTGGTATATTAAGTAAAAGTATAGCTGCTTTTCCACTGCATGGTACCGGCTTGGCTCGACTCGACTCGCCTTTTTTAGTTCTTCATACAAACCTGCTACCTGGTACTGTTTGGTATAACTTCCAGGTGAGCTGAGCCGATACCAAATGGTGACGAGGAAAAACTGCAGACAGCTGATTGGTCAGAGAGAATCGTCACCGTCACCCTAAATACATATGCTAACGTTAGCTACCAGGTTAGCGTAGCCTCTTGTGTCACCTTTGAGTAAGCAGACATAGTTTTTCGGCAGTCTTCTGTCTCGCTGCCTCTTCTGGACAATATTAGTCTCCTTCACATCACGGCAGCTGCATGTGGCGTGGCTATGACGACAAGCTACGTTGAGGGGGCGCTATATCTGCAGTGGAAAAGTGGCTTATAGTGTACAGTGCTCGAAATGTTGGATGACGGTAAAAGTTCCTGCTCTCAACCATTTTTGGTTTGTTTCAGGGATTCTAACATGCAGTGAAAAGTGACGTAGCCTCGTAGCAGACAGCGATGTGAAGTCCACCTCCTGTTCCTTGCCCGTGTGACTGCTGGACTCCGTCTGTAGCCGCTACAGGAGGGTGAGCTCACTGTACCTTCCACACCAGCCGCCATATCAACTCCAGAGTGCCAAAACCAACTGAAGCAATCTTCAGGGAAACTCCTGCCTGTGCTCGTTATTCCTTCCTGATCATTTCACCGCAACCCAGGAGCCGTTTTAGAGCCACTGAGGGTCTGCAGGACATTTCTGAAACTGGACGCTGGACACTGTTGCTCAGATCTTCAATCAGAAGAAGGGGAAGGAGGCCATTCTTCAATACAGTGCATTTGGAGACACTGCATAGCGCCATCTGTAGACGCTACACTGGGCTACCCAAGTAGCGTCCCTCAACCTGCTTATATTAGGCTCCGCCCACCCTTCAAACCCAGCCATCCAGGGCCAACCATCACTTTTAAAGGAATACTCCAGCGTTATCTCAACCTGCTGAATCTGTACTGTACAGTTGATTGTGACTAACTTCAGTACGTTTCCCTGAACTCAGAACTCACTGAGGTCAAAGGCCAGATGCCGAATTCTGCAAGTAAACGTTTAAAATACGTGACCAAATGCAAATTTGTAACTGTTCTAATCTAAAGTTGGTTGATAGTACGACACCACCTAAAACAGGAGTGTCTCACACCTAAGGACCCTGTTTAGACCTGGGCATTGAATTTGAAGTTATGGGGACGTTTTAAGGTTAACCACATGCGTTCACACTCGGCAATCAAATGCTGAGCAATATGCAAATCAGCTAATATACAAAAACTAGCGCAGCGCATGTTCACAAGTCATCTGTTGCGGCATCGGCTGGTCCTCATCAGCACCTTTTTGGCCAGTTGTTCATGTTGAATCAGGCAATCACCACAGTGGAAATACATTAAATGCAATGTAAACATTACATCACTTTTGCATAGTGACCTGCAGGAAACGTCCAAAAATGAACCTTGTTTACACCTCACTTTATCTCATTACTGATTTGCATAAAAAAACAAATTCTGAATTTGTGTCAGAATGAAATACAGCCCACTTTGAAAGTTAATATAATATGTGAAGGTCTGGGCGATATGGCAAAAATGAAATATATTGAAATATATTGAAGATATTTTCACGGCACATAATGCATCACAATATTTCTCAGACATCTGATCAGTTGGAACAGAGATAAAATAACCAGTGCTGCATTTAAAAAATATATATTATCAAAAACTGTGAACAAAATGATTTTTTAATCAATATTTGGCACTAAATCCAGTTAAACAGGCCTAATTTTGCTCTTTATAATGAAACATGCAGTTGGCCACTGACGATGTTAAGAAAAGCATATTGTATTGCATTGTAACATTATCGTGACAAATTAAGATATTTATTAAGATATTAAAATTAAGATATTTATGATTTCTACTAGAACTATGTTGTGACTCAGAGTTTTCTGGTCTTTTCGAAGCTCAGGGGAATCGTCACGGTTAATGTCAGTGTAAATTCGGCTGTGCGCTACAGACGCAGCAGAAAAGCGCTGGCGTGTTCCTCTCACGCCCCTCCTACGACTGTCCGCTAGTGCCTTCATCTTCAGATCCCAAGGGCTGGTCTGGGAAGGGCGGAGCTCCAGCCTTTCTTAGCCCCTCCCATCCTACACCAGTCACATTTAAGAGAATTGGAACCAGCCATAGTGAGATTAAAAATGCCCCGCCCCCTCCCTGTCACTCGCAGATGTTTCCATGGCTCTCACTCTCACATCCTTTAGATCTGTAGCAATATCAGTCAGGGAGGCGTGGCTCCGCTCTGATCGGCCCACCGCAGCGCGTGTTTGTCACGTTAGAACTGATACCGTTTATGGGTTTGTGTAGCTGCCTATTCTGATAATTGTCATATGTATGTGAACAATAGTGCAATATTTCACAATCTTGAGCCTTAATTCAACAAGGAGAATGCTAACCTCAGTGTGGACAATGCTAGCCCTGCTCTGACCGTCACAGTCGGTAACACCCTTGGCTCCTCAAGATACCGATGACTTACTTGTTCCAGATTCGGCCAGTTTCCCTCATCTGTGCCTCCACATCTCCTCTCCAGGTGTTCTCTGCACCTCTGTGGCGTCTTGGTTATACTGCATAGATATTTGATCTGACTTTGCTCCTGAAAAGCGTTTGATGGCTTTCTTATCATTGCTTTGATTGTTCTCCATGTCTGTGAGCCACAGAGCTGGACTGGTTTGATGCTAAGATGGAATATTCTTAGTTTTTTAACCAAATTTGAATTCTATACTCTTCAAAAGTGTTAAATATCACCTCCTGTGGTAAACCATCCACCATGGAACACGCCAAACTAATGCTAACCCCCCATAGAGAATCCTTAACCCAATTCTAATGCTAATCCACCATGGAGGATGCTAAACCCTCTGAGCCCACAAAGGGACTTTTGCAAAAAAACTCCTGTTTTCAGGCGAAACTTTGAAACGTGCGCACCAAATTCACAGGTTCATGAGAAACACACACGATATGTTCTCCCCACGTGAAAATTTCTCACGTGCACTCAAATTTGACGTGTGCATTTTGTCTAGTGCTCACATGAAAATAGTGCTCACGAGAGTTTATGGTACACGCATTAAACTTGCCATCACTCGTGTGAATTTCTGATGTGCACGTGATCCTTTTCTAGTGCTCATATAAAAATTTCTGGTACACACGTGAAACTTTCTAGTGCTATTCAGGATTAAATTTTTTGAAAAAGTCACGTTTGGCTCTGTAGCTACGTCTGCTGCGCCATTGAGTCTCAGCTGAGAGAAAAATCCGTGTTTAAGCTCCTTTGAGTGCCAGTTATCCACTTTTGAAGAACCTGAAGCCTTTTCTAAGGGTTGTAGAGCTTCTCATGGACTTGCTGTTAACTTCATGAAGTACCTTTCCTTTGTTTCTCAGTCTATAAGGGCAAATTCTCCACCGAAGCCACTAATAAGGGATTCATCTTTGTATATGTTTACAGTGTGGGTTGTCAGGCTGTAGGACAGGGCCGTTAAGATAACGTTGACAGCCGAGAGAAGAAGGACGCCGTTTCTTTAGCTCAGATTACTGTGATGGCCTGGTGTAGTACTGTATGAGGAAAGTGCCAACCAAGCTGTGAAATGCTGCTAACTGTATTTTCAAGTGGGAAGATGACTCAAAACTCATAAGCGTTTAAGGATAAAAGCTTTCTCCTAGCAGAACTCCGGGCAGGATGTTCCTCATCTTTCCAAAGCTGGACGCTGTCGTGGACTCATGATAGACAGGCTGCACTAGAAAGTACCTTTCATGCTGTTGCATAAAGCAATCAATAAATTCAAGTTTGTTTCGTAGCGTTTTCTTTAATGCTGTAAGATCTTTATTATTAGTCAGTTCCATAAATATTTGGATGCCGACAGTTATTTTTATTTTTGCCATTTACCACAGCATATTTAGCTGATTATTTAATGAAAATACTCAATGCAGACTTCCAGCTTTAATTTGAGAGTATCGGCAACCAAATCCGGTAATTGGTGTGAATTACAGCCATTTTCATACATAACCCCCCATTTTTATTGGCTCAAAATTAAATGAACAACTGGCTGCTCAGCTGTTCCATGGCCAGATGTGTGTTATTCCTTCATTATTTCACTATAACTTACTACCATTGATGTCTGTTGGAATCTCTTGCTGTTAACTCTCATTATGAGGTCCAGTGAGTTTCACTGCCAGTGAAACAAGCCATCATTAGGCTGAAAAATCAAAATAAACCCATCATAGAAGAGAGCAAAAACATTTAGATGTGGCCCAATCAGGTATTTGGTATCTTCTTAAAAGAAGAAAGAATGCACTGGAGTGCTCAGAAACACCACCTCATCTGTCCAGCATGGTGGAGGTAGTGTTATAGCGTGGGAATGCATGGCTGCCAATAGAACTGGTTCCCCTGTGTTTTTTTGTGATGGGATTCTGAGGTGTAAAGAGCTACGTTATCTGCTCAGATTCAGCCAAATGCTTCAAAACTCATTGGACGGTTCTTCACAGTGCAGATGGTCATGTCCTGAAGCGAACTGCGAAAGCAACCCAAGACTTTTTTTAAAACGAAGAAGTGGAATGTTCTGCAATGGCTAAGTTAATCATCTGACTTCAGTCCAATCGAGCATGCATACTTTGATTGTTAGCTTGTCCAATTACTTTTGAGCCTCTAAAATTGGTTTTCGCTATGTATGAAAATGGCTGTAATTCCTACACCAAATACTTTCAAATTAAAATGAAAATCTGCACTTTGTGCTCATCCATTATTAGTGATTGCACATTGCAAAATTGCAGTTTATTCTTCTTATCATTATTATTATTATTATTATATTATTATTATTATTATTATTATTTTCTGCCAGATTGTTGTCCACTAATGCAGCAACAACCTAGCAACCACCTTGGACACTGTACCAACCACCTAGCAACACCCTAGGAACCATCTAGAATACCATAGCAACCACCTGTAAGTGCTGAAGCTGTGCCATAACGCTGCATTTTCTTCATAAAATGCACTTTTCCAGTTTATTTTAAACTTCAACATGCTGTGGCACAAAGCTAAAGTAATAACTACTTTGTCAGTGTCCAAACATTTATGAGTCTGACTGTATATTCTGCTGCTTTACTGGAGTCTAATCTGAGCCTTTAAGTCTAAATATACCTTCTCAAACGTTTCATTGTCTTGTACTGGCCTTCTCTAGCCTGTGGTCAGGCAGCTTCATGCCTAATTTGCTTACCTAAGCTGAGTGGATTTAAGCTGGACTGAAGGCCTTTTCACCAGTCCTGCTTGCGAAACACAAAGACAGTGACAGCGTCGAGGTGCAGGAGCCAGCGCTTTTAATGATTTAGAGACAGTGTGTTGTAACATCATTCCATTTATGTAAAAATTCTGTACAGAAATATTACATTAAAAAAATGCATTGTTATTTGTTTCAGTGTCTTTGTTTCTGGATGACGTGACGGGGAAGGTCTGTAGTGGTCAGTCTAACGAAGACAGCACTTGGCTGACCTCTGTCCATCTTCTTAGTGAAAGCGAAGTCTTTTCTCGCTCTCAAACTGCTTCTCTTCCTCCTCAGAGACCTGATTTCCCTTCAGGCTGTGGAGAACATAAAGCATTAAAAAGGACATTCTGTTCATTTTTCCCACTCGTGTCGGAGTTTATATGGAATGTTGATGATGGAAAATAGTGGAAAATCTGAAATAATAAGTTTTCTTTGGGGACTATTTTGCCTCACAGCGCCCTGCATGTATCCCTCCACCATGAATGGAGTTTAAGTTCTCTAAACTATCATAAAACAGTGTCTCAGTCATCAGGCAGTGAATTCATAACCATTTCATGTAGGAACTTTCTGTGAGGGAGCTTTTAGAGGTGGACGTCTGGTTCCTATCACCACCACTGTGAACAGTTCTGACTCGGTAAGTTTATCTAGAACAGAGCGTTTCACACCAAACCACTCTGAACCGCTCTGTTTACATCTGAACCACTTAATCGAATTAAAATTTATAAAAAAAATGGTGGAATTCCCCTTTAAACGTCCATATTGTGGAAAACTAATTTTCCTTGCTTTTTTTTAAATAACAGAGTTTGGTGTAGTACCCACTTCAAAAAGATGGTTCTTCAAGGGTTCTTCAGTAAAGGGAATGGTTCTGTATAGAACCATAAGTTCTATAAAGATCCATTTCATGCTTAAATTATTCTCTGCATGGTGAAAACAGTCTTCAGATTGATGGAGAATGTGTTCTATATGGTTCTATAGAGCACCAAGGGGTTCTGCTATTGTTACGAGCTTGACATTGTCACAATAGCAGAACCATTTTTGGTGCTACATAGAACCATTTTCAAAAAGGTTCTATATAGAACCATATACAACACATTCTCCATCAATCTGAAGAACCATTTCACCATGCAGAGAACAATTTAAGCATAAAATACATCTTTTTAGAACTTGCGGTTCTATATAGAACCATTCCCTTTACTAAAGAACTCTTGAAGAACCCTCTTTTTAAGAGTGTATGTAAACATTGTGAAAGTCTTGTCATATTGAATACGCCGTTTCTGTGATGTCACAAAACCCAACACATTTACATATCTCCGCCTATTCAGCCTACAGCGGTTTGGCTCCGCCCACTCACACTGAAGTTATAAGGAGTGTTTCAGCCTGGACTGCTTTTTGAACAAGGCGCAATACAGGGCAGCCAATCAGAACAGGGCTTAATTACATATATCAGTCTTAAAGGCGCAGTAACAAAAGCAGCCTGTTTAACTATGAGGGATGAAGAGAGACTAAAAATGGTCGTGTAGAAATGAATTATGACTTTTTGCTACATAAACACAAACATTTATAAGTTTTGGGAAGAATAAAATACTAGGAAAGGCTTTTTAATATATGGAGTATTTGAGGCAGGGGTGACATTTTTGCTCTTACATGATTTCTTTAATGGTCGTGTTGCTGGCCAGACCTTCAAACAGCTGCTCGGCCCCTCGTGCGGTCAGCTGATTGTCTATTAACCTGCAGAGGTTTCAAATGTAAACATGTTTTAATGCACAGATGAGGTTCATATGTGAGTCTACTGTCGTACTGAAAACAAGCAGCTCATAAACTATAGCCACCCTATTATTAACTGAAATGTCAGTGTAATAACCTAAAGAGTCTTACAGGAGGTGAGTGAGCGCCGAGTTACTCCGTAAAGCTTCGGCCAGGTCTGATGCAGCATCGTCTGAAATTTGGTTTTGAATCAGCCTGAGAAAAATGAAGCGGAAATATTTCATTCTGAAGTAACAGTGTAAATTACAGTGTTTCTGAAAATAATGAATTAATTCATTATTAATGTGATTTAGTGTAATCTGGTTAATGTTCATAAGTGAACTGAATGCACTGTAAGAATCTGAGCTGCACCAGAAGATATGAAGGCTGGAGTTCTCCTTTAGCGCTCTCGCCAGACTTCTTCCACCCCGAGAGGAGATGCCATTCGCCGAAAGACTGACAACAAAGGAAAGACAAAATTTACAAAATGTTTTGTACAATTTGTTTCTGTGCATACTTTGTTACCCTGTTCTTCAGTGGTCAGGACCCCCATGGACCCTCACAGAGCAGGTACTGTTTGGGTGGTGGGTCATTCTCAGCACTGCAGTAACACTGACGTGGTGGTGGTGTTTTGGTGTGTGTTGTGCTGGATCAGACACAGCAGTGCTGCTGGAGTTTTTAAACACTGTGTCCACTCACTGTCCACTCTATTAGACACTCCTACCTTGTCGGTCCACCTTGTAGATGTAAAGTCAGAGACGATAGCTCATCTGCTGCTGCACAGTTTGTGTTGGTCATCCTCTAGTCCTTCATCAGTGGTCACAGGACGCTGCCCACAGGACGCTGTTGGCTGGATATTTTTGGTTGGTGGACTATTCTCAGTCCAGCAGCGACACTGAGGTGTTTAAAAACTCCAGCAGCTGAGAATGATCCACCACCCAAACAGTACCTGCTCTGTGAGGGTCCATGGGGGTCCTGACCACTGAAGAACAGGGTAAAAGGGGGCTAACAAAGTATCAGAGAAACAGATGGACTACAGTCTGTAACTGTAGAACTACAAAGTGCACCTATATAGTAAGTGGAGCTGATAAAATGGACAATGAGTGTAGAAACAAGGAGGTGGACTTGTTTATCAATATATATATATATATAATATATATATATATATTAAATGTATCTCCAAGTTCCTACTTCCTCAAAGGTCAGTCGGCACAACCAAAAACAGGACTTTTATTTTGACAAAGGGGGCAAGAGAAGTGCATCATAAAGAAGACCCCCAGCAACCTGCCTGGTGCAATGGCAAGGTCAATAGCCCTTTCAGAAATTTAGTAAAAAATGTGACTTTTGAGTCGTGCTTAGAACGGTTCTGACCTCAGAACCATGAAAATGTGTAATTATAATAATAATGTTTATTTATTTGAATCATAAATTTATATTGAAGTATAAATTCAAGGACAAAGGTTTCTATGGGTGTCTAAGTAGATGCCTGTTTAATTTAAAATTTGTCTGAAATATATATACACATACATATATGTACATTTATATGTATGTAAATTAGTGTTGTGGTCGGATCAAAACCTTTCCAAATTCATAACTTTAATAGAAGGAAAAAAAACATTCTTGACAATATTTTATTCTTAGTAATTGTGGAGCATTTCTCAATTTGCTCATAAAATTTTGACACAGTGCAAAGAGTGACTTTAATTTTTTATATTAAAACGATGTGAAAAAGTGACTTTACTTAACTATAAACAAGTATGTTTAACAAATAACAACTACCACGGCCTCCCAAAGGCTGCTTAATGGTGCGTTTTTGTAAATATACACTCTCTGTAAATCTCACACCGGAGCGCCCCCTAGGGTTCTCAGTCAGGTTTTAATCAGACAAGGAAGGGGTTCAGCTCTTTATCGATCACCTTTGAATGAGTTGTGTAAAAGGAAGCGTGCTCACCTGAGGTTAGTCAGTCTGGGGTGATTCTTTAGAGCTTCAGCAAAAGCTTCTGCACCTTCATCTCCAATACTGTTACCCCACATTCTACAGCAGATACAACAGCACGAGTTACCTTCAGGATCCGTCCACAGCGTATTCATTCAAATCCTAATTTTCAGATTCAGCTTTCATAAGGACACAGTCTGTGGACACCAGGTCAAATTCCTTTTGTTGATTTATTCAATTATAATGAACACATCCTCTACAGAGACACACTTCTGCACATTTTAATACACAGTTACTGTTAATTTACCGAATTGAACACATTGGTGGGGGAAATACAACCAAAAGCATTGCATCTTTATGCTGAATTCAGTACATAAAGATGAACTGTGCACTACAGTTTGCAGAAATATGCCATAATTAAGTGCATGTGTGAACTTGGCTGAAACACCCTACAAATTCTCCATCTCCACCTTTCATTTCCAAGTTTATGCAATCCCAAAACCAACCCATCTCCTCCCTGTTCCTCAGTTCTATCTTTCAGTCCTAGTGGGAGGAGGTCTGGCCTTCTAGCTCCAAGCAGACGCTGCCCAAAACTCCAGCCCTCAAAGTTCTCCCTTCATGTTACCACCATGAGATGAAGACTTGGTCCGAACAAATATGCAAGTCAACCAAGCATAATTTGACCAGGGGAGCCAAAACTTTTGACTGTATCTATAAAAGCACAGCCTTACCCCACATCGAAGATAGACTTGCTCTTCTGAATGGCTTGGGCAAGAAACTTCGCCCCCACACTTGTGATGTGGTTGCTGCCAAGCCTGCAGAAACAATTCATCACATCAAAAAACATATTTACACAAACATACAGTATCCCTTACAAAACTGAAGTTTATAGAAGTTTACTCAAGTGTGCTAGTAGTGTCCTTCAATTAAACTAATCATAAGTTGGTATTCTTTCAGTTTATTTTTTATGTAGTTATTAGAAATATACTAAATAAAAGTACCCTACAGTATACTTGGCTTATAATGACAAACATACAGAAAAGTCTATTTGGTCATGTATTTGTGCTTAATCTTTTGATATATATATATATATATATAATCAATCAAAGATATATATCTCAATCAAGGTTGTAGTTTGGAGATATATATCCAAAATGGTAACTATATATATTTTACTTTTAATGTAAGTCAATGGAACCAGACTTTTTTCCAAATAAATTTGGGTCGTTTCTTTTGGTCCATTCATCATGAAATTTACACTCAATGTAAAGGGCAGCAGGCATTTTCAGATTGTGTCAAATACACCCC